TTATTTACCTCATGTAAAAAAAAGCATCGTTTCTCATTGTTGTGCTATATTGTATCGTATCATGGATCTAGGTAGTCCTGCGTACAGTCTATGGAGGTACGCTGGGCTGTGGTGGGGTTGTCTATCAACCAAACGCCCCCCTGTACACACAGCACTGTATGCAGGGCTAGCATCCAAGAGCTTCGTGGTTGTGTAGTAAAAATAATGTTACAATGTGAAAACAGACAACCACTCAGCCATAATACGTATCGAGACAAAACATAATTTGTCGATAATCGAGTGTTGCCTAGAAAAGTGAGATTGTTGCAAAATGTAGCAAATCGTTTTCAAAACAGTGCCGCTAAGAAAGTCTCGCTATATTGCAACGTTCAGTAAGACTTGAATCTTGTTTGCGCCCACTGTAAAACATGTATAGTAAACAAACCGCCCTTTTAGAAAATATTTTTATTAAAAATAAGTACAAGTAAACTAAAACGAAAAATAAAACATGCATAACATAAAATAGTTTTATTCAAAATTAGTCTTGTATATGCTACTGAAGAACAATTCAACTAAAACGAAAATTAAAATATGTATAGTAAATAGACAGATACAGGATACGACAGCAATAAAATTATATTCTACGTCGACAGTAAAGTCTGCGTGACTTGCGCGTTTTGATTATAAACAAAATAAATCCTGGCTAACGAAATTGACAATGCTATGAGAAATGTGTTTTTCGTTGTCGCTATAATGCAGTATCAGAACTCCAAATTAAAATATCAACGGGGAAGTACAATTGTGCATGCCTCCCATTAGTTCCAAAGAACGGCATTATCACGTCGGTATGTTCAATGGCCCACACTGAATACAGTGGCATAACACTAATAGTTGTTTTGAAAAAAAAACATTAACATGTCGGCAAGTTCAATTGTGCACACCGAAGACAATGTAATAACTCTGTAATAGTTCTGAAAAGAAGGCAAGTTAAATTGTTCAAACTAAAAGCAACGTCATACACTGATTTTAAAAAAAAACGCCGATAGCACACAGGTTTGGAAAAGATCGATCACGGGGCGTGTATACAGAAAACTACTGGTATGTATCTCGCCAACTGGGCTTGGGATCTCTCCATCGCGTCAAGTGGTCATTCATTCGCAAACGTGAATTCGTACAGCGGGCGATGAACTGAACTTGACCTTTCGATGTGTCGCTTCCAAGGCGTTGTGATACTCTCTTTATTACT